CTCTGTCTCGCAACCTTAGATCCGCAACTTAAACCCTACCCATAGGCTCCATAGTAGTTCCTTTTCGGGGCTACCTGAAAGGATCCTCAATATAAGCCATGAAGAGGGACTACAATGGAGCCTTTAGGTAACCCAAAAAAGCCGGGATCAGAATCACCAGCTTGCACTTGTTCGTGGGCTTTGTAAGAAAGCCCAGCCTGGAAACCTTAAAGAGCTCCTAAAGGTTTTGGGTTAATATGCTTAAGAAACCCTCTGCAGGTTCCACGAGGGTTCCATATAGGTTCAGGGCTACTCTAAAAGAGATTCTACATTATGCTGAACCTTTAGAACCCCAGCAAAAACCTACAAGCTTAGCTATTTCTTAAGGATTATATCGGGAACCAAACAGGAAACCCCTAAGTTCTTAAGGACTATGGGACCCATACCTAGAGGCTCATACCCTACCCCTTTTTTAGGGCGCCTACTTTTTAAGATAACAGATCCTAACCATAAAACTAGGTATCCTAGAAAAGGGGTAGGGTATGAGCCTCTAGGTACATTAAACCCCTAAGTACAAGGTCTTCGGCTTTGGGGTTACCAGGCTTTGGGATTTCAGCGTCTCGGGGCTTTCCTAGCTCCTTAAAAGGCTCCTTTAAGGGATCTATAGGGTTCCTTAAAGGGATCTCTAGGGTTTAGGGTCTACTTGGAGGGTCGGGGGACTTAGTAAGTAGGTAGTAAGTAGACTTCTAAGCACCCTAAAAGGGACCCTAATTGGGGTTATGGTACTTATAAGTCCCTAAAATAACCAGTTACTAAGTCCCCCGACCCTCCAAATACAGTCTCCATTGTAGTTTCTGTTTTATTGGTAACCAACAATGTACTATAGGATTGGGGCTTAGGCTTTATGCCCGTTTACGGTTTAGGGGTCTAGAGTTTAGAGTCTACCTATAGTCTCCATTGTAGTTTCTTTCCTTATCTTGGTTAACCATCTCTATGGTTAGGATCCTACAGTATAGGTGTTGGTGAACCAAAGAAGGAACTACCATGGAGACTATGGGTAGGGTTTAGAGTATCGGGTCCTTGCAAGCTTCATTTGGGCCTCGTCGCCTCGAGCCAAAGACAAGATGCAGAGAAACTGCCGTGCCCAAAGTGTCCTAGGTATTGTTATGGGGAATACTTCCCCAAGTCAGAATAGTAATTCCTGATATGGAAACCCTACATTCTACTATATAGGCACTTTGGACCCTTTGGGGTGAAGTTCCTCGCAGCTACTGAGCCCCAAGGGACCCGGTCTCAAGCCCTAGACCCTCAACTTCAAGGGTTAGGGTTTTGGGAACCCTAAACCTTATAACCCCTAAACCCTAGACCTCCCCCTAAAAAATGTAGTAGCTCTTGAAGCATCCCTAATAGTAACCCTTAGAGACCCCTTTAAAGGCACCCTATTCTAATTATTCAAGCCCCTATAGTATCCAAGGGTAAAAGGAGGGACCCTGAATAAGGACCCCCAGGTATATACCCTTATGTAGCCATTCTATACCCGTTATATAGCCCATTATAGGGACCCAGGGGTCCCCATTAAGGGTCCCTCCGTTTCCCCTGTGATAGTAACCCTAAACCTCCAAACCCCTAAACCCTACGATGCCTCACAGAGTTGCGCCGCAAAGGAGCCGTCCCCGAAGAGGGGCGTCCAAAATGCGTCAAAACCCCTCTTGGCCTCGGCTTTATGAGTTTGGGGCTGTACCTATAGTCTCCATTGTAGTTCCTTTTTGGGGTTACCTATATAGGACCCTTAATATATTATTGGTTAAACCAGAAAAAGGAACTACAATGGAGACTATAGGTAGGGCTTTAGGGGTTTAGGAGTTTAGGAGGTTCGGGTTCCTTTAAGGGTTAAAGGTCTCCTCGGCTTTGGGGGTTTGGGGCTGTGTGGCTTTAGGAGCTTTAGGATTTAGGGTGGAGGGCTGGGGGCTAAGGGTTCAGGTGTGCTTTCAAAGCTTTGGGGTTTGAGTTCTCCGTCCTCCAAGAGGCCCTTCGAAGCCAAGGTGCAATTCCTCCTAACTAGTTCATGGTTGGGATAGGATTAAAAATTAAAAATGTACATGGTTATTCCTTATTGGGCTTAAGTACCCTTAAACATGTAAAATGTTACCCAACTACGACAAAGTTAAACTCCTGCCTTGTGGCTCATGTCCATCGATGGGAGTCACGGGGCCCCAGACCCCGACCCCCAAACTGGATCTCCTAAATCCGAAACCCAGACCCCCGGGAGGATCCAAAAAGTAGATCCCTTAATGGGGGCTCCTATAAAGTACCCTTAGTAGCATAGGGCCCCAAATGAGGGGATCTACTTTCTAGATCCTCCCGGGGGTCTGGGAAACCATGCCCTAAACTCCAATCCAAGCCCTCAACCCTAGGTTGGTTGCTGAGTTCATAAGCCCCCCCCCCCCCCCCCCGAAAGTGTACACTTTTAGGGTTTAGGGTTTAGGGTTTAGGGTTTAGGGTTTAGGGTTTAGTCTTATAGTGGGTAATACTATCCCGGAAAGTGTAAGGTCTATCCACTCAGCTATACTAAGCCTAAATCCCAACCGTTAACCCCAAAACCCTAAACCTCAAAGGATTTAGCCCGCCCTTCCTCATGGGAACCTGAGCCCTGGAACCCGCCCTAAAGACCTCAACCTGGACTTGCTTGACCCTGGACCCTAAATGCTAAACCCTAGTCCTAAACCCCAAACCCTACACCCGAAACCCTACACCCTCTACACCCTAAACCCTCTACACCCCCAAGCCCGAAAATCTAACAAGAGCCCGATTGCACCCCCAGACGACAGCCGGGCCCAGGACGTTCTGGACGCCAAGGACCATCGCGCCCCACCCTGACATTGCTACTTGGAGGTTCAGGGGGTAGGGTTTAGGGTTTAGGGGTGTGCGGTTTAGGGTATTTGGGGGTTTAGGGTATTTAGGGTTTACTTGGAGGTTCAGGGGTACATGATTGTAAATGGTGTTGTAGGGGTTCCTTTATAGGTTCTCTTCAGGGTTCTACAGGGCTTAGGTTACTTGGAGGATCATGGGACTTAGTAAGTAGGGTTATAAGTACCTGAATTGGGGTTATAAGTAGATACAACTATAGTTACCTTACTTCTAACACTACTTACTAAGTCCCATGATCCTCTAAGTATAAGTCTTCTATAGTTGCCCTACTTGTAACCCTACTTATAACTACCCATGAACCTCCAAGTAGGCCCTTGTTAGGGTTTAGGGTTTAAGAATAAGGTCTTCAGGTTTAGGGTTTAAGGTTTAGGGTTTGTTTTTAAGCCTTAGGGCTTATTAATTCATAGACTACCATACTTCACAGTCTACTATTTAGTTGCGTTTGTGTTCATGTGTTGTTTAGTGTTTGGGGTTTTCCTCCGTCTGTTAAAACTGCCTCAACCCCATAAAAACCACACAAAACCCAAAACCCCAAAACCCTAAACCCATGATTGTGAGCGCAGGACCGGTCTACAGAACATGAATCTAGGGGCCTTAATATTGAGAATAGGGTTTCTGGGCCCTGCATTGCAGCTTTTTAACAGGCCCAGATCGAACTCGGAGTTGTTCATGTCGGAGAGTTGGGGAGTTTTACGGTGGGTGTAGGCTTTGCGGTTTAGGGCTCCTCACTCTTCGATTCTTGCCGTGCGATGATGGCTGTGATTCTGCGAAAGCCACTCCAGGACTCCCCGGCTTTCAAACCCAAGCATCGCGTTTAGGGTTTAAGCTTAGGGGAGCTTATAGGGATCAGTATATACGATCTATATACAAGGGAGCAGGTCCCCCTAAACCCTAAACCCTGAAGCCCTGAACAAAAACAACAACTGCCACCGCCACTTGGAGATCTAGCTTGTTATGCTTAGGGTTTAGGGTTTAGGGTTTATGCCTACCAGTCCGAAGCAAGACGTGCCATGCCAGCGCTGTGTCGGCAAGGAAGACTTCGAGCATGGCAAACCGTTAGAGTTTAGGATGTGGGGCTCGCCAAACACGGGCGAGATTGTGACACGACCCCATCAACAAACATAAAAACAAACACTTGCAGCCGCAAAACCTCAGCTAGATACAAAACATGCACAGAAACCACATACTCGCAAGGCACTACAAAACCACAGGGAGGATTATACAAGACCCAAACTAGCACGGCACATGAATGTGGGAATGACAGGCTTGAAGAGTTGCTGGCGTGCAGTACTTAACCTGTTCTGTCAAGCAAAATCTCAAATCCCCAGGGGACGGTTTTGGCCATGTAAACCACCCTGCTCAAAGTAGGATCCGAGGGTAAAAGGAGGGACCCTTAAAAAGGACCCCTAGGTATATACCCTTAATATAGCTATTATATACCCATTATATAGCCCATTATAGGGCAGGGGTCCCCACTAAGGGTCCCTCCTTTTCCCGTTTGATAGGAGTCAAATGCAACATGAGCTTCGGTCTAGGCCTTTCGACACGCACAATCTAGCAGGCTGCCTCCCACGTGTACAGTGCAGTTTACTCGCTGTAGCTGGCTGTTGATTCGCCATACCATCTAACATCGTACTCCTCACTGGCCCAAAACCCAAGGAAACAAAAGTTGAAACTTTCAGAATCGACTAGCTTATAACAACCCCAAAAGCTGAAAAGTTTAGTTTACAGCCAATAAGACTCTGTTCTGAACGCATGAGAAGCAGGTCAGGCACGCGATGCTGGCCGAGGACCTCGGGAACAGGGCACTGGCAACCCAGGCAGCAAGAGCTTTGCACAAAACGGGTTCGGGCTATCCTGGAAAAACTGGACCATAGGTGAAACCTCCATGCCAGACTACGCTTGAAGTTTAGGAAGCCAACCCACTGCAATTGGTGCGCATGCTGAGGAAGCAACACCTTTCTGTCTGCACCCCGCGCTGTGCGTCGTCCAGTCCTCTGCAGCAGACCTTTGTCAGCCTCGTGCGGCCGACTGAGGCTTGCGGAAAGGAAGGTTGCGTCGCCAGCAATCAGCAAGGCACCATGATGCGAAAACTAGACGGGGACATTGCCATTCGGGGAGGCAGTTTCGCACCACCTGTAGTGGAAGTATTGGTCGACCGAGAAGGGCTTGCGATGGTGGGGCTCCTTGAAGTCGTCGCAAAACCAAGCAGACGTCCAGCAACACCGAGCTTTGTAACCGCTGTGATACTTGTGGAACCAGAACGGACGGTCTTGTCGCCGCTTCTTGTACTCTCCGCACTCCGACTTTTGACTCAAAGTTGCATCTTCTGGCCTGGGCTTTGGACTTTTGCTTCATTACCGTTCCCTTTCAGTACAGGTTGTCCAAAAAAGTATGATTAAAGTATGGTACTCCAAACCCCAGTGGCTCGGTCTCAAGGGATTCCATGAAAGCAAGGCAGCAGCATTTGTCGCCACGAGCTTCTGCCTCAGCCACACGCTGGTCAACTGAATCTCGAAGGCCATCGGCGGGCACTCCGAACATGACGACCAGGCAACCAGCAAACCGCATCGCCTTGGTCGTGATGCCCATGGATGCGAAAGTTTCACAGGACTACGTCGCAATCTAGGTAGCAGGATCTGCAAACACGCTTGATGAAAGTGGCTGCAAGAAGAAGCCATTAAAGGGAACTCCAGAAAGTTGGAATATGGATTAATGGTAGGATCCCCTATAATTTACCATCTCTGAGTTCGGCAGCTAGGATACCCAGTAACCTAAGAATAAAACGGCCTCTCCTTTTGGTATTGGGTAACTTTATAAGGAACCTAGGACTACAAAAAGGGAATAAGGGTACTACTCGGCATCCTAGGCAGTGGCCAACAAGTGGACTGGCAGACTGCTAGAGGCGAGATGAAGACTAGGTGGGGCTTTTAGAGCCTTTGAAAAATATTAGTAAATAAGATCCTCTTAAGCCCAATAAGGGAAAATATAACATGTCCCAAAGCCCTACCTAGAAGATGATTCCTTGGCTCTGCGGCTGCACTTGGCGACCTCCAAACCCCCTCTCCCTTACCTTTGCTTAGTAGGGAATGGAAGAACGGTAGTAATACGGTTGATGATATAAATTCTGCATTAGCCATACTAAGGAAAGTACCATAATTCCCATAGTTTAGGGTCATGAAGGTAATGCAGGATTTATATCATCAGCAGTAGTAGTTATAATTGTATCCCATTCCTCCATTCCCTACTAAAGGTAAGCTCCGAGGGCCCGGCATTCATCGCAGCTGGAAAGCCCTCCATCTGAGTTGACAACACCTGGTGATAAAGGCGAGCCGCCATGTTTGGAAGGCTTTAATTTAGGGTTTAGGGTTTAGGGGTTTAGGGTTTAGGGTTTAGGGCTTCAATTTTGAGATTTATACGGTTTAGGGCTGTAGCATGGGACTGTCCGGTACCCTTTTCAGGGTCTGCTGCGGCTCAACAACTCGAGCTGAGCTGCTGCAAACTTCACTCACCACCTACGCCCTGGTGCAGCCCAAGAATTACCATCTGGGCATGAATACTGAGCACTCCTAATCGATATTGTTGGCCAAGGTTCCATGTTTAGGAACCTTGATGAACCCAGTGGCAGTCACTTCTCCAAAAGATACCTACAGTCTCCATTGCAGTTTTTTTGGTTTAACCCGTTATATATTCAGGATCCTATAACATACCCCAAAAGCGGAACTACAATGGACTATAGGTAATTACCCCCTTACTTGGAGGATCATGGGACTTGGTAAGTAGTGTTATAAGTACCTTAATTGGGGATATAAGTAGATATAACTATAGCTACCTTACTTAATTTTTAACCCTACTTACTAAGTCCCATGGTCTTCTAAGTAAACCCTGAACCCTCACTCCAGCCTCCCAGCCCTCAGGGACCTCAACGACATGGTTCCACCTGGGCCACGCTACGAAACGAGAAAGGACAGATACTCTCGGGGCCTTAATACTTAGACTAGGTTCCTTTAAAGGGATTGATAGGGGTTCTTTAAAGGGGTCTATAAGGGCTACTTTCAGGGATCTAAGCGGCTGAACTAGAATATACGGGGTTTAATAATTAAAATAGGGTTTTGGGCGCATTTTACTATCATGAGAACAAGGAGCAACTGAAACAATTGTTTAGGAAATTACATAGGCCCCCATTAATACTACATGGGTGGTTGTCAAAATTTGGGCCCCTTTTGGGGTACCCTAAACATGAGGTGCCGTATTATAGTAGGGACACAAAGAGGGACCATAATTTTGACAACCACCCACATGTATGTACATGTACAGTAGAAGCCAGAAAGTTGGAATATCATTATCATAATCCCTTTAAGGTAAAACATAGGGGATCCTACCATTAATCCATATTCCACCCTAAACCCTAAACCCTAAACCGTGGCATAGGGGATCCTACCATTAATCCATATTCCAACTTTCTGGAGTTCCCTTTAATGGGAGCTCAAGGTCTGCCTGTACAGTCAGATTTCCTGACTCCACGCCTCGATAGCGAAAACAGTGCCCAACCCTGAACCATACTACTTCTTTGGGGTTGAGGGGGTAGGGTTTAGGGTTTAGGGTTTAGGGGGTTTAGGGTTTAGGGGTTTAGGGTATTTGGGGGTTTAGGGTATTTAGGGGTTTAGGGTATTTCGCTTGGAGGTTCAGGTGTAATTAGTTCTACATGGTGTTATAGGGGGTTCCTTTACAGGCTCCTTTCAGGGTTCTACAGGGCTTAGAAGGATTAAGGTTTAAGGTACTTATGAGTGGGGTTAGAAGTCCCCCATATGGGTTATCAGTATAGTTACCCCACTGTTAACCCTACTTTTAACTACCCATGAACCTCCAAGCACTACAGCTCGCCTAAGCCTGACATGATAATATCTCCCTTTTCGCACTATCTTTGTAGGCTAACTGACCTTGACTGGGTTGGTCTTTAACAACCCTGAAAAATTCTTATATATAGGGTCCCTTATAAACCGAAATAAGGAAAATAAAAAAAATGTACCACAATCCTACCTAGTCGAAGACGACAACTCAACGAATACGCATATATCAACAGTATAACACAAGGCTCATAACAACAGCGACAATGAATTACATTTCAGCATCCTGCCAAACAACGAAAACAGCAGAGTGTATAACTAATGATGCTAGGGTTTCCGAAAATTGGGGGGTACCTTGTTTTGGGGTCCTTATAACGAGGGTCCTACTATTTAGGGCACTACTTTGCGGTCCCCTATTCTTGGAAACTCCCCATATCTACTAAACAACCCCCAAACCCGAAAGCTTAAAGTCCTAAACTCTAACCCAAAGCTCCTAAAGCCTAAAAGCCTCAACCCCAAACCCCTGCACCCGTGAATCCTAAGGTCCTAAACCCTAAAAAGCCCAAAAGGCCTAAATCCGACACTACCACCCGGATTCCGAGTCCTGGGCAGATCGTGACCCAGCGAAGAACAGCTGGGCTCCTGCAAGAGCCGGTGGTGTAGGGGCATAGAGCTCCCTTTAAAGGGATCTGAAAAGGTACCAGAATACAGCGGCCTTAAAAATTTTAGAAATACGATGATCATGTTCAGGCGCCCACCAAGATATTATAGGTAATAGTTAAAGCCCCCTATAGTATGTTACTTCTGTATGTTCAACGGTTTGGGCTTAGGGTTCTTATTGTTTTAGGGTTCAGGATTTGGGGTTTAGGTCAGACTTGGAGTTTTAGGGTTTGGGTGGGATTTGAAGGCAGGTTCAAGAAGCTAGGCCTTTGCCACACGGCTCCTTCAGTGGCAGCACGGTATAAGCGCGATCGGCCTGAAGCGAGGGTTTAGGGCTCCTTCTTCCGCGGGGTTTCGGCCTCAGTTACCGGGTTCCCTGCCCAGAGAACCATTTAAGCGTGGCAGGATCACCTAAACCCTAAACCCTGAACACCAGAAATGGTTGAAGGTTACCTTCTCGGGGCATAGCCTACAGCCCTGGACCGTCTTTCCCCTCTTTGACACTGTACTTCTGAACACTAAATTCCCGTACTTGGAGGTTCATGGCTAGTTTTTGACGTGGTTATAAGTAGGGCAGCTGCCATTCTACTTATAAGCCATAAAGATAAATTGGACTTCGGGGGGGGCTAAGACCGAAACCCTCAAAGGGAACCCTCACTTCGGGTTCAGGGGTAGTTTTAAGTGGGGTCATAGGGCCTCTAATATGGGTTATAAGTATAGCTGACCTACCTATAACCCCACTTTTAACTACACATGGTCAGTTTCTCCAAATTAAAGTAGTTATAAGTGGGGTCATAAGACCCTAATATGAGCTACAAGTATGGCTAACCTACCTATAACCCCACTTGTAACTACACATGGGTAGTGGTCAAATTTATGGTCCCTTCTTGGGTACACTACATAATAGGTGCCGCATTATATTCGGGACCGAAAAAGGGACCCTAGTTTTGACAACCACCCACATGAACCTTCAAGTAACTTATAACAATCCTAAACCCTAAACCCTACAGAACCCTCAAACGATCCCTAAACTCCCTAAAACCCTTCATACCCTTATAGCCCTACCCATAGCTACCCCCTGAACGTTCAAGTAGCCTGAGCTCTGAACTTCCAGGGCTTCTGGTCTGACTTCTGAGGATTTCAGAGTCGCCCTTAGGGATATGGGAGTTTCCGAAAATTAGGGGATCCAAATATAGTACCCTGAATAGTAGGATCCTTACTTTGTATGATACCCAAAGGCTACATGTACCCATATAGTAGGTACTGTACTTAGGCCTTAAAGTACCCATACAGGACCTACTATATGGGTACATGGAGCTGTTGGGATAAGGGTGTTGACCCCGTCTCACCAAGCAAAACTCTAGTCACAGTTTCCAGTTGTAGTCCGTCATTGGCTACACCATAAGCCCAACATCTTGAATTCCCGAACCCTTAACTCCTTTGAAGCCCGAGAACCATCAAGCCCTGGTCTGTCTAGCTGCTAGCTGGGATCCCGGCAACCGACACGATGTAGTTGGCAGGAACATGGCCTGCTTGACCACCAACACGGCAAAAGCGATGGAGGGGGTCGGGGAAACTCAGTGTGTAGATCTAGCAAAATTAAAACTCCCGAGCCCCTGAACCCGAATTCGCAAACACTCCAATCCTGAACTCTACGTAAGGCCCCCGAAAACTACCAGAGCAACAGGGACCTATATTTTAGATATGACAGCCCCTGTAATTGTTTGGGGGAGGGTTAAAGATCTTACACTTGGGTGGTTGTCAAAATTATGGTCCCTTCTTGGGTACCCTAAATACTCGGTGCCGTATTATAGTGGGGACCAAAAAGGGAGCCTAGTTTTGACAACCAGCCGCTTTAAGGCCCCACTATTCCTGTAGTGTTTGGCCCCCCCATGGTTCCATGGCTCCTGTGGTCTACTTCACCGAACCTCGAAGATAAAGTAGAAACGCAGACTGCAATCGTAAGGGTATCTCGAGTTGACACTCGAACACCGAAGACGAGCTGTTTGATGGGTTTCTGTCCTTGAACAGGGTTTCAGGAGGCTTTCAAAGGCATACAAAGGGATTATTGATCATTAAAAGGGC